TTGCTGAGTAGCATGCTACTGTATGGATAAACCACAATGTGTTTATCCTCTAACTAGTTGATGGAAATTTGGTTTTTTTTTTTCAGGTTTTTATGAGTATGAACAAAGTTTTGATAAATATTTGAGTATAGGTCTTTGTGTGGATATCTATTTCATGTATCTTAGGTAAATACCTAGGCATGGGATTGCTGTTATATGGTGAGTGCAAGTTTTACTTTATAAGCAATTAAGGCTTTTGCTTTTTAAAAGTAATTGTACACATACGCCTTCATTTTATTAGTGTACTTCTAGTTGTGTGCCATATCATTGTTGTAGAAATATTTTGTATAAAATATAGTTTTAGTATGAAGTGTAATAAACAAATGATGAGAGGCCTTTTCAATACAAGCTCATAAAATAGCATTTTTAAAGGAATGGAGTATTGCATAAAGGGAAGACTACAGCCTTGGAACTATCTGAAGTTTGTCATTTTGGATGCTGTGTAACTTTTATTAGAAAAATTACCTAATCTCTTTGAATGTTACTTTATCCTCAAGATGTGGGTGACACAGGCTTCTACATGACAGGGTTGTTACAAAGATTATATGGGATAATATAAGCCGAGTGTTCAGTACATAATAGGTGCTGCTGTTATTGTCATTACAGTTACAATTTTTGCTAAATGCAAAAGGCTGCATTGTAGAAAACAAATGGTATCATACTACTAATGTTTAGTATTCATTGGGAATTAATGGGTTCTTCCAAGGCTTTGTACATGTCACTCAGAGACAATTAAGTTACGTTTGGCTCAAGTGTCTACGATATGTGAGTTTTTAAAATAATGTGCTAGTCTAACACTTCGCCACAGATTAGCATTTTGTATTTAATTAAGGTCATGTCTTCTATATGTCACTGAGAAATGCTGTTGTCACACAAATTATAACAAGGCGTCATAACTTATGTAATATGATTTACCTAGGCAAGGACCCATTAACTTAACTTTTGAAGGATTGATATTTTCTATAGCTCTACTTAGATATTCTTAATGAAAAACATTGACAGTAGGTTTTTAACTTCGCTATTTTAAGACTACTTCACTTAGTTTACCGGCAGGTATTTAAACTACTAAAAATGTTAGTTAATTAGGTTGCACTGACATCTGCTGGTCAGACAGTAAATTCCATAAAAATCGTGTTTCACTAGTTTAAATGAAATCAAATAATTCAATTGTTTTTACAACTCATATTTGCATTCTGGGTTTAACAAATTAGCTGCTGTATATGATAATTTCTGATTCATAGTTCAATTTGAGTCAAGTGGTTTGTTAGCCTGCCGTAACTCTCTTTCAGTTCTTCATAATGGCCAGTGGTACCCATTAAATAGCTTTGTTAAGAAGTAAAATATCTGTGAAATCACAACCTCTTCCAGTCGGTGTTTACCACCGAGTTATGACATCATCATCACGTATTTTGGTCCTAAAACACTGCAAACAAGCAGCGACGTTTATTAAGTTAGAATTCACTTGGAGACAGTGTTCCTGGGGATATAGGCTTAGGATGTAGAGGAGGTTCCAACAGAGTTAAACTCCATGGGATGATTTTTTCTTGCCGGGAAGTATAATACAGCTACTTTAAAACCTACTAATTCAATACTCACATTTAGGGTTACAGAATTTTACAATGGGAAATAAATTTCCTGATCATTTAGTTTGTCCCTCTCTTTTGTAGATGTGGAAATTGAGACCCAGATAAATTTAATTAACTTAGTCACCTAGCTGATACTAGAAAGAAAGTTCCCTGATTCTCCCACTCCAAGATTATTTTCTATATAATTGTCTTCACTAGTTGTATATCATTTATTGTTTAGACCAAAAATATTTGGACACACATATTCACACATATGTATGCTTACTTGAGAATTTATATTTAGCTTATTTTAACTCAACCATGCTGACTTTCTCGAACTAGAGACATGATTAAAATACGCAACATATTATATAATATTTCTCTGTGGTGCTTCAGAAATATATATGTTCATTCATATGTTCCCTCCCAGAAAATCAAGCTCCATTGTCTAATTCTTCAATATGAGAAAATAGAAAGAGGTATGTGGATCAGAAAAAGAAAATGAATCAAAAATAAACCTTAACCAGGGAAATTTCTGGCTCTTTGATCAGGTTGAGGGTCATAGAATCATGCATTAGATAGCGTATCAGGAATACAAGCACATTTTCCCTTAATGTTCTGTTCCAATGGCATTGTTATACAGGATAAAACTTTTAAAATGCAACTTTCATTGTGATAAGGAGTGTGATATGATACAAGACTGATGAAATATCCATAATATAATGCCAAATATATTTTTTCTCAACTTTAGCACTACTGACATTTTGGGACAGTTCGTTCTTTGTGGTAAGGGCCTGTCTTGTGCATTGTAGGACGGTTAGCAGCATCCCTGGCCTCTACTCACTAGATGCCAGTAGCAAGCCCTGCATTGTAACAACCAAAAATGTCTCCAGACATTGCCAGATGTCCCCTCGGGGGCAAAATCAGTCCAGGTTAGGACATACCGCTGTAAAGTAGGACTGATTTCTTCAGATGTATATATATTCAAATTACTCAAAATATTCCAATCAAGAATTTGATTTTTTCTTTTTAGATAAAAGAAATATTGACATATGAAAAGGAAAAGAGACTTGAGGAATCTCTAGATTAAATAAATACTTCCTTTACATATTCCTTCCGAGCTAGAGCTAAAGTAGGCTCCTTAAATTGCTTTCAGTAATTGCATATTTACTCTCGCTTCTTTTTATACTCTAAGGTATCATTTTGACACAGTTACTACTTCACAACCAAGTTTTCTTTTTAACTATTGGCCAAGCTGCTGTTTATCAGTGATGGCTTTTACAATATTCTTTAATTTTCCTCATATTGCAAAGTTCTCTTTACACATATGGCCTGTGAAAGCAAAAACAAAAAACAAAAAACCTGTGAATCTTAGGGCAGGTATTTTCATCCCTATTCTGCAGATGAAATTAAGTCAGACCAGGACTCGGTGCATGTTTCTAGGGTACCAAATGGTCTTTTTTTTTCATCTATGGTAGCTATATATTTGAGTTGTATATTAAGAGGCCTTTCAAGGAATGGAGGAAAGAAGAATGAGGGAGGGGAAGAAGAGGGGAAGGGAGAAAGTGAACAAAGTTAAAAGCATCCTAGTGGAACAATAAACAATGAAAGCTGGCATGGGATAGAGGATGATCTAATCTCACTGTTTAAGTCATTACAGCAACCCTTGAGATTCCGTACCTTCATCCTCCTCCTCCATCACAGCAATATCCTCCACTCCCTCTCCCATTCCACCCCCTGTCCCTCCTGTACCCTCAAGTGCATGTATTCTAGCACACACAGATATCCCTTCCTGACCTCAGGTTCAAAGCTTTAGGTCTTCCCAGGGGAAAACAAATGTGGCCATTTCTGTTGCTTCCAAATGGTTTCTAGTTGGTACCAGGAAATTTTCATTGCTTATTCTCTAAACCTTGGAGTAAAGCTTTTAGAAGCTGTCAAATGCTTCCTGAAGCTTATAGTACCCTCCAATGTTTTGATAGTTGATTGCTTGCCTTTTTAGCCTTCTCAATACAGAGTTCTATGAATGAGCAGCCTTTCAAATCAGCACCATTTGAGTATTTTATACACAGAAAAAATATATGAAAGAACCTGTTACATAATACTCAATGTTGGGAAAACTGACAGGAAACAAGTCCTCTCAGATGTGGTATGAATAGAGTAGCCATGTCAACACCTCTGGAAGCGTTTAGCAGTATGTAGCAAAACCCTAAAAGCACACACATTACTAGATAGACCCAGGTATTGAACTTTGTTGGACTTGATTTTAAAGAAATAATTATAGATACGCTCAAAGATATCTTTTCAAGGCAAAGATACTATCTGAATGTTTCTATAATGGTAAAAAAGTGTAAAATAAAATGGTCGTATGATTGAGCACATAAATTTTGGTTTATTCTAATAATAAAATACCAGATAAATCATGCTAGTAAAATATAGGCCTAGAAAAGTCTGCAGGCATACCAAAATGCCATTGTTAATTGGGTTAGTGGGTTTTTAATTACTTCTTTATACTTTTCTGAACATGCCAAAATTGCCAGAATAAATATATACTGCTTTGATCAGAAGAAAAATTGTATTTGACAGAGCGAGACTTCTTCTCAAAAAAAAAAAAAAAAAAAAGAAAGAAAAACAGTATTTGAAATAAATAAAGAAAAGGAGATGAAATTGCCATGGTTCCTTGCCCATAGTTAAATGTAAATAAATTCCTGAATGTCTCACCTGGTGGATGCAGGGCCTTCCTAACAACTAGGTGGTGAGTGGAAGGATGAATTCTGTCCTTATTATCAATAACACTGTCATCCCAACAGCTTTCATTTATTCAACATCTAAAATGGGCAAGTCACTGTGCTATATTTATGCAAGTTATCTCCTTTATTCCTTAAAACAAACCCCAGGCAGATTGTATTCTCGTTTTGCAGTTAAGGAAACTGAGTAGTTAAGTGAAAATGAGGTCTAGCAAGGATTTGACCCCAAATATTCTAATGGCAAAGTGTGCACAATTGACCCGCTACGCTGCACTGCTTCTCTTACAAAGTTTTAAGCCTGAGCATCTCTTCTCTGGATCATCTGAGGCAAGAAGAAGAGGTGTTCAGGGAAAGACAGCTTTAATAGGAGTCTAGCTACAATGCAACAGTCTTTGTAATGTAGACTGAACTGCATTTTGGTTTCATAGTATTTGCTCTATAATATCTGAAAACATGATATGATTAACTTATGTGATGCTTAAGACAAGTTTAAAGACACAAGATGGGAAATAAAATCTGGGAATATTTTTTCATGGGTAATGTGGCTAATGTCGCTACCTTATTCTCAGCAAAATATTAGAGTATCATATCTAGAAATGTGTAAGAACACCAATCACAAAAACATGAGTCTGCTTATTTAACACAGAAAACATGGATGGCAAAAGTTTTTTATTTATCTGCTAGAGGAATCATAAGAGGCAAAAAAGTACTACCAATATTGGACAAAACAGATAACTGACATTATTGATTTTTAGTAAGGTTCTAAGTTTCTTTGTTTTTGTTTTTTACAATCTGACTGCATTAAGATACATATACTCTTTAATGTAAAAAAAAAATCATATACTGAACTAAATGCACAAAGACCTCATTATTGGAACATTAGCCATGATTATTTTAATATTCTCACAGCTTTGCAATTTTGAGAATATACTGGCATTATATAAGAAGAAGGAAGAGGAGAAGGAGGAAGAAGAGGGAAAGGAGGAGAAAGAGAAGGTGGTAAACAGAGGCCTAGTTAAGAATTCCTTGCCCTAGTAGTGAACAAGGACTAAACACAGACAATGGGTGGAACACAGATGCTAATTCACGTAACAGAGAGTAGACAACCTTAACAATGAACTGATGCAGACTCCCTATAGAATTCCTCTGTTATGACTGGGTTCTTGTTTTCTCCTCTTTGTATATAGTTGAAATTACATCATTATGAATAGTATCTTGGATCTTCTTTTTTTAGAGTTGTGAATGCAAGTGTTTGGCTTTGTAATACAACTTTTTAGTATCCAGAAGATAACCAGTGCTCTAACAATAAAGATCTTTTGATGCAAAGGGTTTTAACTTCTGCTAGTTCTTATTCACTCATTTTTTTCAGAAGGTTTTTTATACATTTCTTAAACAACACATACATTACGTAAAATATAAGAATTAATGTACATTCTCAAGGTCAGATTCAGTGACAAAATGCACTACCCGAATCTAGTAACACATTTACTCTCTGCTGCATGTAAGTTGCATATAAGAAATACAGGGTATATTGTTTTGTGATCCATGCAGTAAATGTTCACAAAAATCAAGCAAACTAGACGTTCCTCAGCTACTAAAATTAACTGTCCCAGTCACAAAATACTTCGCAAAGATAAAAGCACTCATGGTTACATGAAAACCATGCTGGACTGAGTTTGTCCTGGAAGAGCTGGTTGGCAGGGCCACAACGAAAGCACTGGCAGCTGCAAATTTTCCTTCTCATATGTGACTGAGACTATTCTCTTCTCACATGGCTTTACCCCATACCACAGGCTTTTGCTGAAGAGGCATTTCAGGCTTCAAATTAAAACAATCGACCTTTAGTGAAAAAGCAGAGATACGCCTCTCTTGAGTTTCTGATCCTAGAAACAGCTTGCTGTAGGTCCTTAAGGCAAATGCCAGGAGTCAAAGAAACTGTAGAACAGTCTCAGGATGTAAACAATAAAATCACTGACCAAGGAGTTACATCCCTGGATGAAAACTCTTCATCTAAGACCTAACTGGATAAGACCAACTTCTTGGCTTTCAAAAGTAATGTGAATTTTATATCCTAGAAGCACTGCACATTTTTTCCTATTGTAAAGACTTCTGGAGTAGATAAAAGTTCATGATGTTGCTTAAAAAAATACATAGCATGGAGAAGCTACTCAAATGCCAAGCAGTTTTCAGGTTTGTTTTGTTTGTTTTACCTTTATATTTTTCTTTTGTAGTTGGCATATGGAAAACCAAACTGGGAAATCATAATGTTGGAGTATTTTAAGGGCATGCTGCCATAGATATTAACAAGCTTATTTATACAGTAAGACCTCTGCAGAGCATGCTCAGCTCGATGCCACATTCCAGAATAGCCACTGTTGGTTTCTTTTTCCAAATTGTCCATGTTTACAGGCTTCACAAATATCCCTGAAGTCTTCCCAATATGCTTGGCAATGATAAAATTCATGGCAATATCATCACAGTTTTGAGTATCATCTATCAAAGCATGGACAGCTGCAGGTTGCCTCTGAAAGAATTCAAGATATTTGCTATTGAAGAATGAGGCTCCAATCAGCACCATAGAGTACTGGTCACCATTTCCAGACCCTGGTGCTTGCATTTCAAAACCTCCATAACTGTAGATACCTGATGAAGTAGAGACGTGCTTTCTAGGAACAAATCCTACAATTTGATCAGGAAATTGCTGAAAAGAGGGAAAAAGAACAATTAAGTGTCACATATTTTTAGAGAAGATATAGTCAAAAAGGCAATGATTTATTACAGAGAAAATGAAACTGATTTGTCAACTCTTCCTTATTCCTAGTTTCTACATTTCAGTTTTATTTAGCTCCAGGTAACTTCATAAATCTGTGTTCTGATATGTTTACACGTCAAATTGCATCACAACCCAAATATCTCTGAAAACAAATATTCTACCCTTACAAATGTTCTCCTAATTCAAACATTATCTGATATGAACAAATTCCAGTCACCAAAGAGTCCAATCCTTCAAAATCTGCCGCGAGAAAAGCTGAGTGCCTGAATGCTATTTATTGTAGGAGATAAGAGATAATGGGATCATTTTGAAAATTTGTTCTAATCTCTTAGGAGTATATAAAATTATCGATCTACATGTGTGACTATCTCTTTTTCATGTTGATTTCGATGTTCATAAAACTTACTGTTGATTTTAAACAATGTTATATTTTATCCCATTTCAGCTTGGGTGTTTCCTTTTTCAAAAAAAATGAGATAATATAAATAAATGTTTATATTTATCTATATAAAATAAATGTTTATATTATATATGTGAGAGAGATGCATCAGAATCTTTGATGAAAGGATAGATGGTAGATGAGCGTGACTAAAAATAAAACAACAGTCAGCAAACAAAAGAAAAAGACAAAAGCATGCGAAAGAGGTAAGAACTTACAGGGTTGAAAGTTTCATTCACTCTCATAAATAATTTGAATTTCATTCATTTATTGAACAGATGAAGAACTAGGGACGCACACACACACAAAAGCAAATGAGGCTGAGTTAAATCCTATTTAAAAGCACTTACAGTCTAGAGAGGGTAGAGGGGTATGATACAGATATGCAAACAAGGAATTACAATACTGTGAGAAAGTTGTTAAGTGCATCTGGGTAAATCTGATGGGAACATTGAGGGTAGAATGACAACTGTGTTGCTGGGAGGCAAAGGGCAAGGTCAGGGGATGGGGGATAAAGGCTAGGAGGCTTCAGAGAAGATGTGCTATTTACACAATCTAGGAGAATGAAAGAAATTTCACAGTTGGCTAGAGGCGGAAAAGGGAAAACACTAAAAGCAGAGGTAATGGGCAAATACAAAGACACAGATGAATGCCTACTCTAATCTTGCTTGCTTACACACAAACCTCAGATCATTACATTATGCAGGGTTTGGGTTGGACTGAATTTAAGTTGGTCAATGGATTGAAATTGTTTTTGATATTTTTATAAATAAAACCTGAAATCATATTTATATATCTTTAATTTATAGTTTACTCAGATGGTTCCAATTAACCACAGTCCCCATATTCTGCCTCCATTTTTACATTTCGGGCAAATTGATTTTTAAGCATCAATAGAAATCTCATAGTTGAAGTATTACATTAGAACTTTTTCCCCAAGAAGCTTTCATTTACAGCGCTGGAAAAAAAAAACAAAACTGTTGATATGAAAAAAATTTCAATTTGTTGATCAGCACACTAGGCATTAAAAACTGAAGTTTTAAAAATGCTGGTATCTGTTGAGTATTGTGATCACTTACCATTAATATCTAATGCTGTTATATCCGAAGAAGCTAATTTAAAGTTACCATGGTGTAAATGAGATCATTTACTGGGTAGCACAGTGTTTAATTATTGGACACGGCTTCCAAGTATGTCTATGCAGTTCTGGTTTCAGGTAATGGTAGTGCAACTTGTAAAAGTTAGCTATTACTAACACATATTCAATAGGAGAGAACTGCTTTTATAGGATACTGAGCAATTTATGCCTGCTTATTCAAGCTAGGATTTAGGAAAAAACAAAACAAAACAAAACAAAACAAATCCCTCCTACCACAATGGTACATGGAAAATTATTACTGCAAAATTTCTAAACAATGCTCTCAGAACCAGGATTAAATTTTGTGGAGGTAACAAATACTTCCTTTTACAAAAAGTTACATATAATATTAATATAGAAATATACTTATCATTTGAGACACATGTCTGTGGTCTGGGCAAAATATCTCCTCATTCCGGCTTTTGCTAGACCACGTCATTTCCCCATTGTTCTCTGGAAGGCAGTTCTAGCTCTTTTCCCCAGTATACCAAAATATAAATTAAATCTAGATAAAAGATACCATAACTTTCAGGTTGGCTGAACTAAGCTCAGGAAATCTTGATTAGCCTATAACAAATTCATCCATCTTTTAGATAAATATTATCTAAAATATTTTAGATAACTTCTATATTAACCATGTTGCCCTGGTTAAGTACTAGTCAAGATCTTATAAAGACGGTTTCATAAAGGAGACAGCAACATTACCTGCCAAACTGAGAAAGCAAAAACAAGGTCTGGGGTGCTGATGAGTGTGTCATCATCTACCATCAACACTGCTAAAATGAAAGGACAAAAATTTAAGTTGAATAGTTTGGAAATGAAAACAAAAGTAGTAAAATACGATAGTGTCTACATATATCATTCAAATGAAGTCTTTTCTGACCCCCAATAAGTAAATAAGCAATGTATTCTTGGGGAGATTTGTCCAGTAGAAAAAAAATTTTTGGTATCAAAACTGATTGTATAATTGCCTGAAGGGAAAATAATCAAGTAGTTATCATCCATCATCCTAGAAACTATTGGGCCTATAAATAAATAAAGTCAAGATTCTTTTAAGCAAATTGCAACCTCATGAAACTGTCAGGAATGGGAGGAAAAGAGGAGTGTCAAAAAAATATATTAAGCATAAGCTAAATGGCATCTTACTATCAACTGTAATGCAATAATATGTAATTATAGCATATCCTTTATTACAATATTAACCTCTTCGCCAGGAAACCACTTCTTGACATCTTGGAAATTGTCCCTCAAGCTTTCCAAAGTGCTTTCTTAGAACTAACTTCCTTCATTTTTCTCCGGACAGTTAAGACAAGCAGAAGGCCAGAAATTCACATGCCCGTTCCAGCTCTGGATAGCGGCAGCCCTTCCAGGCTGAGAACCCCACCGCAACTCACCACTGGTTTCCAGTTCAGGAAAGACCTGGAGTCGATTTCTCATCCTGTTTGCTGTCTGTTGTTTGAAGATCACAGGGATAGGGTGGGGCCCTAGAGAATTCCATAATTCATCTGGTGCCTTCTCTCCAATATTGTTCCATACCACAATCACTTTGTGCAGATTTGGTACAGCCTGATAATGATTTAAAAGTTTCAATAAGAGATCTGTTCTGTTGTACGTCTGCATTATGAGAGTAAAGGAGTCCATGGTGGACTTGCCCTGGGACTTTATTTCCCTACGCAACATGAGCATCTTGTCTTCTTTGACACTGGGAAGCAAGGCAGTCAAAGCACCAGCTACCAGTAATAATACGAGGATGACCACCAAAGAGAATCGAAGCACTCGAATCCCCATTACTCTCCCAGGAAGTTTGCAGATGTGGCAACACCTAGAGTAGAAATGGAAACAACATACAAATGTTAGCATTCTTACTAGTCTCTGTGTTTTCATGTTTTTTTCCAATGAGGAAAGATACCAATCTTACTTTAGTTGATTCAGATTCAGTTCTCCCTTCCTCCTCAATAAGGTAATTTGGCCTAAGAGATTTTAAAAAACCAGTTTAATACTTCCTGCCTTCTTGCCCTGCTTGTTATGCAGTTGCAGACAAAAGATGCTATACATATGAAATTGGAAAAATTAAGCATTTAAAAATTTGCCATCATTTTATCACTAAATCTCCAGAACTGAGATTATTTTTCAACTGGAATTTTATTTCCCTTAGTAATATATTAATTTCAAATCTACACTTCTGTAGTAGCAGACTTTTTCCCAAACAAAATCATACAGGCCATAATACACGAGGCAGCAAACAATTATGGTAGGTTTATTACTTATTAGGCCCTGTACTATGTGCTTCATCTACCACAGTATGTACTTATTCATGCAACAGATAGTTACTAAGCACTTACTTTGTGCCGCCACTGTTTCAGGTTCTGTGGATACAGCAATTAATGACATAGAAAAGGTGTCTGCTGTTAGTAGCAGAGGAGATGATAGGGAGAAACAGGTAACACAATAAACAAATTCAAAAGATAATCTGGGGTAGTGGGTATGAAGAGAATCTGTTTATAAAGAGAATAGATCAGAATAAGCAAGGGCCAGATTATGTGGGACCTCTGACCCTCATTAAAGAGTCTGGATTTTACTCTACGCCAGAAGAGAAGCCATTGGAGGGCTCTTGGATCTAATTTATTATTTATTATTGTGATTCCCATTTAATAGTTTAGATGCTTACAGAGATCAAATGACCTTCCTAAGATTACCAAGTAATTTCAGTACTAGTGCTAGGATTTCGAACAGGAAAATCTGCCCCCAGAGCCCAGGTTGTTCATGGGCTTGGGGGTGTATTGCCTGGCTTTACATCCAGGTTGAACTGAGGCACAGTCTTTGAGCTTCCACAACTCCCTTTCTCACAGTACAAATCACAAGGTATTATCAGCTATGTACTCTCCCATCTTCCTTATTGTACCTAAAGGGTCTTCCAGAGAGAGCCATAGAACAGTAGTGGACAAATGGATAAGTACAGTCTAGTTATCCACTGTCAAAAAATTTTGTGGAATCAAATCCCTCGCTTATATGAGAAAAGGTTAAATCTCACAGACAGTTTTATAGATGCCTAAAACTCTTATTCCCTGGATTCCAATAACATTTCATTTCCATGCTTGCTGACTCCTACTGTAGTACTACTGTTGGCTTTCAATTATTTCTGTTTTTCAGTCTTCTGCTATTTCTGCATCTGATTCCAGGCTACTTACTCTTCCACAGGCTACCAGAAGCATTTTAGGTATGGTCCTTGTTTTGTACTTTGGCAACTGAGTCTTCAAGCCATTTCAGCCTATCATGGATCTATTTTACTACTCTATTCAAGGGCAAAGCCAGAAGTGAGGAAAATGAACTATTCAAAGAAATTTACTGAAGAAAAGAAAGACTGGAAACAAAAACCAATCAGGAGTTTCTAAACAACATATTTAAAGCATCTTTAAGAAAAAAATAGACCTCTGAGAAAGAATAGATGTTATTCTTGGTGATCTTAATTAACCCATAGTCTATCCCTTTTCATCCCCACTTCTAGTACAATTTCTCTTCTTAGGCTACATGAAAAACAGTTCCTCTCATCTATTGCTTAATACTGACAGATGTAAGACAGCTGGAAAAGACTTCTCACTGCTAACCACAGCTAAAGTATACTAACCGCAAAGAGCTACTGTTACTCTTCTTTTTGGTATAATACTGCCTCTGTACATTTTATTTTTGGTACTCCCCCTCTTCTTGGAAAAGTGAACTGTATGTATACTTACACAGTAATATCTAAGCTCTTGATTTCATGTCTCGCGGCTAAAGTTAGGCAACTGAAGCTAGGCCATCATTCCATAGGCAATTCTAAGACTGTAGTCTACATTTAGTTTGGAATAGAATAGAATAGTTTTGGAATATTCTGTTCCAAACTAAATCTCATTTTACTTTCCTAATGATACCTATTCAACATTTTCTTTTTCACTGAGGAGACTTGGCAGTGGTTGGGTTAGTGACCGTCATATTCCTGTAAGCTTGTTTCATGTTGTGAGGTGCGTTTCATAATTGTAGAAAGTTTCCTCTCTATAGTTCAAGGACATAGAGAGATCATATATGCCATGTCTTTAACATCTTCCTTTGAAGTTTATGAGAATGAGGAATAGAGAATTTCAAGAAGGACAAGGGCATACTCTCCATGACGGGACAGCATGCTCAGGCATATGCAAGCAAAGGAAGAGTTTGTTCACAAGGACGAGGAGAAGATCATTGCCATTCAGCAGCTCTCACTTTTCAACAGTCCAGATTTGAAAAGTAATGTCACCTTTAGAGTAAGCTTTTGAGAGTGCTTTCAAGGGTATCTCTCCTGGACTTTCTCTGCAGCTTGTTCTATTAAAAAGAGCAATTTTGTGTTTCTGCTTCTATCATGGGCTCACTCTTAAGGTATAAATAAAATAAATTATTTTCAAGGTAACTTCAGCTTTTCTATGATTATTTTACAAGGATAGTAACTGAAAGCTTTAGTGTACCATATTTTCATTTTATGTACGCTCTTACTAAAACAACATGTACCATTAATGTGGTCAAAGACAAATCATTATGAATTAATAACCTTGGTTCAAAGTCCTTGAAAATCCTTTTAATACTGTATGAAAAGTAGGTCCCATAACACATATTTTCAGTTCTACATAAAAATGACCAGTTATAAGAACTGAGAGTAAAGAGTCACTTTGACTAACTGTATTACAGTATACCATGATTAAGATCTTTATATTCATTTTCTACAGCTGAGTAGGAATAGCATATTTTAAAACTTACATAGAAGTGTTTCTGATCTCTAGACACTATCTAGCAGTTTTAATCTAGAAAAAGTAATAAGATTAATTACTATAGCTTACTATAAATATACACTGTTGAAGACACTCATGAGTGACTGCTTCCCTCTCATGTATTCTTTTAAGTAGGAGTTTATCCCCTGTCTCCGTCATAGACAGTTCCTTCCAGATAGCTTCTAATCCCCCAATTTTACCTGTATCAGAAAGGTTTCAGGAGATATGAATAATTTATGTCTTTAGAAACATAGTGTAAATATTTCAGGTGGTATTTATTAAATAATGCAGCCCAATAAAATTATGTAATTTTTTTTAGTTTGCATAGTAAAGTACGAAGAGCAAGGACTTCATAGACAGTAGTGTAAGTGGCACACTGTACTTTAAGAATAGCTGAGATCTAGAACTCCATTGTAGGCCCATTAGAAAGAGCTCCAGTACAATTTGGAGAATAATGATGACTTTTTGGCTATACGGATCTCAGTTTTTAGCGTTCTTCTGTTCTTCTTTTAGAGAAAGAACTTATCATCTAATTTGCAGCTTTGAGCTCTGAATGAGAGAGATGAGAAAAAACACATCTGGATGACCTAGATCGTACTTGGGAAGAACTAAGAAGTAAACATCAGCACCTCTCAGTTCTCTTGCCCTCAATTCCTAAACTTTCCCTTTAGGTTTTGGTTTTTCCTTTTTTATGTCTGTATATATTTGCTGACACCCTGCCTCATTCCAAAAAGGATCTGACAGCTCTTAGTCTATTCCCTTTCTGTCTTTCTCCCATCCCCATGACTACAGTAAATATAACTTAAAACAAAAATCCTTCCTCCTCTCCTTATCAACTAAAAAAATCCAAGATTTCCCCCAGTGATATTTTCTGCACGTTAATTCATTAGTTCTTTATAGGTAGAGAACACTTCCTTTTAGTTACTTTGATACATTGTTACTTAGCGTCTTCTACACCAGAGGTCTCCAATTCCCAGGCTACACACCACTACTGGTCCGCAGCCTGTTAGGAACTTGGTGGCACAGCAGGAGGTGAGCAATGGGTAAGCAAGCATTACCATTTGAGCTCCACCTCCCGCCAGATCGGCATTAGATTCTCATAGGAGTGCAAACCCTATTGTGAACTGTGCATGTGAGGCATCTAGGCTGCATGCTCCTTATGAGAATTTAATGCTTGATGATCTGAAGTGGAACAGTTTATCCCAAAACCATTCCCCACCACCCGTCCATGGAAAAATTGTCTTCCACAAAACAGGTCCCTGGTGTCAGAAAGGTTGGGGACCGCTGTTGGGGATACAAAGGGTTTTCAACCAGGGATGATTTTGTCTTCCAGGGGATATTTGGCAAAGTCTGGAGATATCTCTGATTGTCACAACTGGAGGAGAGATACTATTGCTATCTAGTGAGTAGATGTTGGGGATGCTGCTAAATATCCTACAATGCATAGGACAGCCCCCCATGGCAAAGAATTATCTGACCTAACATGGCAACAATGCCAAGGCTGAGAAACCCTGATCTACATATAGGTTGCCTAATAAAACACACTTAAATATCATGAGGCGGACTACTAGAGAGGTGGCTTCTGAAAATCCTACTGCTATTAGTTATACTCAAACAATAAAGGGCAAAGCCCTGTCTCTAAAACTGCCCCAGTAGGCCAAGCATGATGGCTCACATCTGTAATCCCAGCACTTACGGGGGCAAAGGCAGGATACTGCCTGAGCCCCAGAGCTTGAGACCAGCCTGGGCAATGTCTTGAGACCCCATCCCTACAAATAAATTAAAATATCAGTCATTGGTAGTGGTGCATGCCTATAGTCCCAGCTACTCAGGAGGCTGAGGCAGGAGGATAGCTGGCGCCAAGAGGTTGAGGTTGCTGCAGTGAGCTGCGATTGCACCACTTCACTCCTGCCTGGGGGACAGAGTGAGACCCCACCTCATAAAAAAACAAAAAACAAAAAACAAAAAAACACAACAAACCAACTAAAAACTACTGTCCCAATAATTACATAATTATATGACTTATTGCACAAACACAGAAACTCAGAGAGCTGAAAGGGACTTCAGAGCCCTCCTTAACCAGTTTCCTTGTTTCACAGATAAAGAACTCAAGGTCCAGGGATAAGGAACTTGTCCAAGGTCATGCAGCTGCACGTGGCTAATCAGCAGCAGAACCAGTGGAAGACTCTAAACCTGCTGATGGCACAGTCCACAACTCTTTCCACTAGGTTATGGTAAATTCTGCACGGATGTGTCAAAAAATTAATAAGCAAGACTGTCACTAAGGTACCTGCAAAATAATATAAAAATTTATACTTGCTATGTTGGAGTTTTTTTTAGTAGCTTTAAGGAGATCACATACCCATTTACATTTACCCATTTAAAGTATACAGTTCAGTAGCTTTTAATATAATCACAGAGTTTTGCAACCATCACCACAATTTAATTTTAAAACATTTTCAATGCCTCAGAAAGAAACCCCAGACCCATTAGCAGTCACTCCCCATTTTCACTTCCGTTAACCCCACACCTCCATCCCAGCCCCAGAAAACCACTAATTTACTTTCTGTCTCAGTGGATTTGCCCATTCTGGATATTTCACATGAATGGAATCATAGAATATATGACCATTGTATCTGGTTTCTTTCACTTAGCATAATGTTTTTGAGGTTCATCCATGCTGTATATATCATGAGGCATATATCAGTACCTCATTTTTTTTGTTGCCAAGTAATATTCCATTCTATGGATAGACCACATTTTCTTCATTCATCAGTTAATGGATGTTTGAATTGTTTCCACATATTGGCCATTCTGAATAATGCTGCTATGAACATCCATGTACAAGTTTTTGTGCGAACATATGGTTTCATTCCTCTTAGGTGCTTACCTAAGAGTAGAATTGCTGGGTCATTATGTCAGTAATATTTAAATATATGAGAACTGAAGTAGCTTTTGAAAGAGCATTATTTGAAATTATAAGTAATTTTCTTAAATGTGGACATAGAATAAGAAAGTAAATAATACATAGTCTATTAAATAACAGTACAAATTCTGTCATGGATGTCTTTAAATGGACCAGGCAATTTGAATTTCCAAAGATGTGCTATAGAGTTCCTTACTACATAATCTATCAAAGTTCCCTAGAAGAAACACTGTTGAAGGATTCTTTTCTCAAGGCTAGTTCCTTCAGACTGGAAAGCAATAATTATCCAGAGAGAAGTTGAAAACAAATATGCCAGTGCACAGCGTGAACGAAGATTATGTTCTCTGACTCATAAGGTAGAAAAGCAATGAGCAATGTGGTGTTGTACAATGAGAAGCTGTCATTTTCATTTTGATGCCACAGATGGTAGAAGAAAGATAACTATTCTGCCATTTCACTATATTTGCCTCACACTGTCCAGATTGTTTCTCCTCTGGCTCATCTTCCAGAATATTTACTTGCCTATAAACTGATGAATATAGAATATAGATGCTCAGAAAAGGGGCCTCAGCTGCCAAGAGATAAAATCATTCCAAGGTGGAATACAAAGGCCAATGCAGAACCTGGGCTGATGCACGTAAGAGGATGCAAGAAGAAAGTTGGAAGAGACAGCTCTACAAACAATGACCAGTTTCTGACCAGGTTTATGGCATGCAGATAACCAACACTGTTTAAACTGAGGCAAAGGGGCATGTGGTGCCATATTCCAAAAAGACATTTTCCCTCAATGGTACCCACATACAGTGAACCGATCCACGACTCCGTGTATTGGTACATGCTATTTTCTCTACTTCAAAGTCCTTCTCTCTATCTGACAAACTCCTACTCCCTACCCCTCAAATCTCTTTCAAATATCACGTCTCCTATGTTTCCCTCACCACTCTCCACCCTAAGTATTCCAGTGAACTCTGATCACTGTGTTTCTAGTTCTTGTTTTCAGGTATTTAAACTATTGACTGTTCTTTGTCTGTTTTTGTTTTCAGTCTTAACGTATCTTGAGGGAAGTTTCTGTCATTCTTTACAATCCAGAACAGTGTCTGGCCCATTTTTTGACTAAGTGCTCACAACACGATAGTTGATTTAAATGAGGGAATTTATGTCTAAATTGTCCAAAATGTCAATGAATGCCTGAAACATTAACAGATAAACTCAGATTAAATACAAATTAAGGCCCAGCTAAGACTAGACAGTACCAAAGCAACTGTTCCCTACATAGAAGAGCTGGGTCATCACCTATCTGGTGACTAGAAGAGCGTGTCATGAAATGTGACCTCAAACACAGACCACACAGGCCCCCTTTCTACGTGCAGTTCTGTGGCTAAGTCACTTGATAAACAAAAGATGTCTCAGATTTCTGTTTTTCACATCTTTTCAAAGATATTCTGCATTAAAATATATTTGAACATCCCTGTTTCTATGAAAGCTCTTGGTGAATGAGTGATTTGCCTTGGTGGAAAAGCATCATCTGATGAATAATATCATCATTGTGAATTTCCCCAAGGAAGTTTAGCAGGTCCTGATAACCAGAAGCTATATTACTTAATCCAGCAGGCAGCATACATGATTTAAGCACACAGAAAATGTCTTATTTGGTTGAGAAAAGAAAATTTAGTTTGGGTTCAGAAAGTGACAAAAACTACAGACGTCATGACAATTGGCAGAAAAAGAAAACTAAGTCAGAACACCACACAACTCAATCAATATTGCCCACGGTAAGCTTCTTCCATTAAAAGTATAAGCAGCATAAACTAGAATTTATTTCATTGCAAAATACAAAATGCCAGAAATGGTACATGAAAGGTCACTTTTCTTCACAAGTCTCTTCCACGTGCTATACAAGATTCTGGGAAGAGTTTTTGACGTAAGGTTTTTATCCACATTCAGGAAAGTCATTCTTTTCATTGTTGTTTTAGAAATGTCATACAGCTTTTCTCATTTTCTACCAGTTCATGCTGTCCTTCCTAAATGATTTCCCCTCCCTTTTTCCTAAGGAGCTCTTCTATTCTTACAAGGTTCTTCTTAACTCCTGTTACTTTTTTCACAAGTCTAAAACAAAATAATTTAAATTAGTTTGTGTTAATAATAAATATAGTAGTAAAGGCAGGAATAGGAATAGATTTATAATAATAAAAGAGTCCATGTAGTGTCACAGATTCATCTTGTGATCTTGTGTTTATGGCCAATTCCAGTGATACGAATGGATCATTTAGATGACTACAATCTGAATCAACTGTGTTACAGACTAGTTATTAGGGTGGAAGTGATCCATCTTTTCTATTGACAATAGAACTGGCTATACATATATATGATTGTTGATAGCCAATTTAAACTTTATTATTTAGAAGGCCTACTCCTGCCCTTATTACACTTGTTAGACTACAGTTCTGAAACAATTGCTAAAAGATTGAGAAGTAGCTACACGAACTTCAATATCTTAAATAGAATGATGTTGCTGCAATAGGTCATTTAGCACTGCAAGCTGTGAGGAAAGCATTTCTGTGCTGATTACATTAAATATCAAGTCTTCCTTCTGGCAACCAGGTTGAGTAAGCCATTTCTTAACAGGTAAATCAGGCTAGAATGAACAACAAGGGCAGCACTGAAAATGGGATATCAGACACTAAGTACCTGTGTTTCTATTTCCCTCCTCAATCCTAAGCTCCTATGCACTGCAAAAAGTGCTCATCCGTCCTACCATTTTCTAGTTTTCCTCTTCCCCTTTCCTATACAAAGGATCTTATTCCTTCTCAACAATGCTTCAGGCAGTTATTATCAATGAACTAGAGTTTGCTTTGTTATCACTTATTTACAGGGAAATAACATAAATATTATGCATAAAGTTATTTTAAAGCACCACTTGCTTCCTTCAATCCAGCTATTTGCTACTGAGGTAGACAATGAGGCCCTTTCTACTTTCAAACTGTGCAGGTCTGAATTATGCTAGATAAAAGTTCTTTCTAGCTTTGCACCTATCTCCTGGAATAGTCAATTAATTATAGCTATTGATGATGATGATGATGTTTGGAGATGACCAATTCCATGGACATATATTAGGGCAGGAGTAAGAGTGGCCTTATTCCTAAGAAGAACATATCCATGACTCATAGGATCCAAGGAGTCAACGCATCCTAAGAGGAAAGCCTAGAAATAGAAAAGCATTTTTAGCTCAGTACAGTGCCATGCAAAATTAGTTCTAGAAATGGGTCAAAAAGAAATCAAGTACATCTGCAAACATTGTACTTTTACCGTTCCAGGATACTGGAGATTTTCATTTGAATCTCTGTTTTGTCAGACAACAGATCCCTGTTCTGTTCTATAGAACCCTTTCTCTTTTATCCAATATTGGTTTTCAGCCATAAACTCACTTTCCAAAATCACTTCTGTAAGAGAAATGGATTTCATACAGATGAATTATGGCTTATAAATATTTTTAGGTATCGAACCTAAGATGGAAGCAATGCCACTTCATGTGAACTTTCTTACTTTATTAGGGGAAGGTCAAAATATCCAGCAAATATTTATAGGTATTTACCATGTGCCCAGCACTATAAGTGCTAGGGATGGTAGTGAGCAAGCAGAACCAATTCCTGCCCTCACAGAGCTGAGCATTACTAATGAAAGTTGTCAGAGCTCTCCCTGCTTCATGTTATAGATTACCTCAAATTGATGTTTCAAATTTTGCAGACAGGACATCTGAGATTGAGAATATAGTATTAAATGATTTTTCCTGAGACACAGAAAGAATGGCAAGTCCAAATCAAACGCTCGACTCTCTCACTTGAGCCACATGGTATTTTCTGTGTCTTCTGAATAGTCTCTATTTCCAGTTTTGTTCTGGTCTACAAGAATAATCAACTCTATAGGTACTGACTTCATTCTGTAACCTGGACTACTATTTCAATGGACCTAAGAGAGGTCTCTCAGTATTTTCTAAGATTTTGGCTTAACTAAGAACTATTGTTTCCAAAGAAATAAAACCAACTCTAGAGGAAATAATTTTTCTCAGACAAAGTACTGGTATTTCACCCATGTTCATTGTGGCCTTATTTGTAAAAGCCAAAAGGCAGAAGCCACCTAACGGTCAAGTGACAGATGAACGAATAATACATTCAGAAAATGTGACACATAGGCATAAAAGAGTATTATTATTCTGTTTTTACAAATTAGGGAATTCTGATACATGCCACAACATAGATGAATCTTGAAGACATTATGTTAATTGAAATAAGCAGTCACAAAAAGACAAATACTGTATGATTCCATTTATTATGAAGTACCTAGGAAAGTCAAATTTATAGAAACAGAAAGAATGGCAGTTGCCAGGGGCTGGGAGTAGGAAGAAATGGACAGTTGTTTTTCAGTGGGTATAAAGTTTCAGTTTTACAAGACAAAAAAGTTCCAGAGATCAGTTGCACAACAATGTGAAAACAGTTAACACTACTAAACTATATACTTAAAACCTGTTAAGATGATACATTTTATGTTATATGTATTTTACAACAATTAAACAAAAGCCAAAAAATATTGGTACCTACCTCATTGTGTTGAAGTTTAATTTTAAAAAAAATTCCTTATGTCTTCAGTGACTGATAGAAGCAGGCTCTCTGGTCACTATTAAGAGAAATCAAATAATTTTCTGTGAGGTTTCTGTCAGCAGGAAATTAAAACAAAACAAAACAAAAAACAGTGCTTTCAATGCCATTGTCCATAAGACTTGAGTTATTTTAGAAATTAAAATTTGTTATTCTGTCTTTTAAAAATTATATTTAGGCAATGAGGTAGATGATGACTTCCAGTGAGGTTGGTGCTATATTTTGGTTTTCATCTTTCTATTGAGGGTTGTATTAGTCTGTTTTCACACTGCTACAAAGAAATACCCCAGCCTGGGTAATTTATAAAGGAAAGAGGTTTAATTGACTCATAGTTCCACATGGCTATGGAGGCCTCTTATGATCATCATGGAAGGTGAAGCAGGTACCTTCTTTGCAAGGGGGCAGGAGAGAGTGAGTAAGCACAGGAAAAAACTGCCACCATCAGATCTTGTGAGAACTCACTCACTATCACAAGAACAGCATGGGAGAAACTGCCCTCATCATCTTATCACCTCCCACTGGGTCCCTCACACAATAAGTGGGGATTATGGGGATTACAATTCAAAATGAGATTTGGGTGGGGACACAGCCTAACCATATCATTCTACCCCAGCCCTTCCCAAATTTCATTTCAAAACACAATCATGCCTTCCCAACAGTTCCCCAAAGTCTTAACTCATTCCAGCATTAACCCAAAAGTCCAAGTCCAAAGTCTCTTCTGAGGCAAGGCAAGTCCCTTCTGCTTAGGAGCCTGTAAAATCAAAAGCAAGTTAGTTCCTTCAAAGATACAGTGGGGGTATAGGCACTGGAAAAATATTCCCATTCCAAATGGGAGAAATAGGCCAAAAAAAAAAGGGGGGGGGCCTACAGGCCCCATGCAAGTCCAAAATCCAGTGGGGTGGTCATTAAATCTTAAGGTTCTTAAATAATCTCCTTTGACTCTGTGTCTCACATCTAGAGCATGCTGATGCAAGAAGTGGGTGCTCAGGGTCTTGGGAAGCTCTATCCTGTGGCTTTTCAGGGTACAGCCCCCCTCCTGGCTGCTTCCATGGGCTGGCATTTGAGTGTCTGTGGCTTTTCCAGGCACACAGTACAAGCTGTCTGTGATCTACCATTCTGGGGTCTGGAAGATGGTTGCCCTGTTCTCACAGCTCCACTAGGCAATGCTCCAGTGGGGACTTTATGTGGGGGCTCCAACCCCACATTTCCCTTCCACACTGCCCTAGCAGAGGTTCTCCATGAGGGCTCTACCCCTGCAGCAAACTTCTGCCTGGACATCCAGGCATTTCCATACATCCTCTGAAATGTAGGCAGAGGTTCCTAAACCTTAATTCTTGACTTCTGTGCACCCACAGGCTCAACACCATGTATAAGCTGCCAAGGCTTGGGGCTTGCACCCTCTGAAGTAATGTCCTGAGCTGTATGTTGGCCCCTTTTAGCCACGGCTGAGATGCAGGGCACCAAGTCCCAAGGCTGCACAGAGCAGGAGCGGGCCCTGGGCCCAGTCTATGAAACCATTTTTCCCTCCTACACCTCTGGGTCTGTGATGGGAGAAATTGCTGTGAAGGTCTCTGACATGCTCTGGAGACATTTTCCCCATTGTCTTGGTGATTAACTTTAGGCTCCTTGTTACTTATGCAAATTTCTGCAGCTGGTTTGAATTCCACCCCAGAAAATGGGTTTTTCTTTTCTATCATATAGTCAGGTTGCAAATTTTCCTAACTTTTATGCTCTGCTTCCCTTTTAAACATAAGTTCCAAATTCAGATCATCTCTCTCAAGTTCAAAGTTCCACCGATCTCTAGGGCAGGAGCAAAATGCCACCAGCCTGTCTGCTATGCTAAAGCATAACAAGAGTGACCTTTGCTCCAGTTCCCAATAAGTTCCTCATCTGCATCTGAGACCACATCAGCCTGGACTTCACTGTCCATATCACTATCAGCATTTTGGTCAAAATCATTCAACAAGTCTCCAGGAAGTTCCAAACTTTCCCACATCTTCCTGTCTTCTGAGCTCTCCAAACTTTTCCATCCTCTACCCGTTACCCAATTCCAAAGTCTCTTCCATATTTTGGGGTATTTTTATAGCAATGCCCTACTCTCTGCAGTACCAACTTACTTCACCAGGTAAAAAACTATGAGCTGCTGAGGTGCTTGCTGAAAGCAAAGGGAATATAGAATGGGTAGAAGAAGGTAGTGATGAATACCAGCTATGACCACATGACCAGCTGCAGAAACTAGGACTGTAATTGTCATGAGTTTTCCTCCTTATTTTGTTAAGAATACATTTATAAATGTATACACTTGTACTAAGAATATATCTTTATTTCCCCTCTTTTTCCTGTATCATGTGACATTTATTGACATCATATCAGCATTTAAGTGTTGTTAACTTTATGTAATAGCATTTAGATTAAGGATTAGTATGCTTCCAGTTGTATAAAGGATAGCTGTATTGTTAGGTGTAATTATGACTGTATTGTTGTTTTTATGTAACCATGTAAGGGTTCACCTTGCCTGCTGCCTAGACAGAACGAATTTATCAAGACAGGGGAAATGCAAAAGAGAAAGAGTAATCTATGCAGAGCCAGTTATGCAGGAGACCAGAGTTTTAGTATTACTCAAATCAGCCTCCTGAAAAACTCAGGGATCAGAGTTTTTAAGAATAATCTGTTGGGTAGGGGGGTCAGTGAGTTGGGAGTGCTGATTGGTTGACTCATGGATGAAATCTTTGGGAGTTGAAGCTGTCCTTTCATGCTGAGTCAGCTCCAGGGTGGGGGCCACGGAACTGATTGGCAGGTCCAGGTGGGGCCATCCAGTAATCAGAAATTCAAAAACCTGAAAAGATATCTCAAAAGGCCAATCTTAGGTTCACAATAGTGATGTTATATTCAAGAGTAACTGGAAAAGTTGCAAGTCTTATGACCTCTGGAATAATGGCTGGTAATATTTAGAATTCCAGCCCCTCTCATCCTAACTTGGTGCCTGGTAGCCTTTCAATCATTTTACAAGAACAGTTTAGCTTTGGGGAAGGGCTATTATTTAAACTATAAACTAAATTCCTTCCCAAGGCTAGTTTGGCTTATGTTCAGGAATGGATAAGGACAGTTTAGAGGTTAGAAGCAAGATGGAGTTGGTTAGGTTTGATATCTTTCACTGTCATAATTTCCTCAGTTACAATTTTTGCAAAGGCAGTTTCATTTATTTGGAGATTAGGTATGATTTCGAGAAATGTGTATGGGTTCAAGTTGACAAGGGATGGACTTGTGAAGGTTAGTATTGTCAACTTCATTGAATTAAAAGTTGCAAAGTATTGTTTATAGGTGTATTTGGGTGTTTCTTGGTGTTGCCAGCAGAGATTAACATTTGAGTCAGTGGATTAGGAGAGGAAGACCCACTCTCAGGAAGACCCACTCACAATGTGGGTGGGCACCATCCAATCGGCTGCCAGCATGGCTAGGAAAAGCAGGCAAAAGAAGGCAGGAGAAGCTGACTTGCTGAGTTTTTGGGCTTCATCTTTCTCCTGTACCGGATGCTTCTTGCCCTCGAACATCGGACTCCAAGTTCTTTGACTTTTGGACTATTGGACTTACACAAGTCATTTGTCAGGGGCTCTCAGGCCTTTGGCCACAGACTGAAGGCTGCACTGTCGGCTTTCCTACCTTTGAGGTTTTGGGACTCTGATTGAGCCACTACTGGCTTTCTTGCTCCTCAACTTGCAGATGGCCTATTGTAGGACTTCATGTGGTGATCGTTTGAGTAGTTCTTTTTAATAAACTCACTTTCATATACACATCTATCCTATTAGTTCTGTCCCTCTAGAGAACCCTAATACAAGGATCTGGAAGCAAAATAAATGCACACGATCCCAACTATCTAATGTTACACATTTGAAACCAGAGGATGTATGCCATGGAGCAAAACATCTGAACATGTCAGCAATTTGTACTTTTATCCAATTTCTAGATTTATATGAATTTGTATTCTTATGTACCTTTACAACTCTTTCTTCACCAACAGTTCCCAGGGCACTCAATCTGAAGCATCTAAAAGGGTCAAATAGGGTTGCAGACAAATGCCAGGGTTGATTACTGAGGAATGACAGATAGCATCTTTCCTATTCCTTGCTGACCATTGCCCAAAAGGAGCTGGAACCATGACTGGGATGAGCTTCTGCCCCTTAATTCCCTCTGTTGTCATTTCTCAGAATCCCTAATCACATGTCTGAGCAGCTGGGGTTTTTCCACCCATAGAGTCTGCATAGCTAACCCAATGCAATTAGTTGGTAGGAGATGATATAAAAACGTATTTAAAAGTTCAGGGTAGAAATCCATTTTTTAGTTTAAAAACATTCAATAGTATATGTATGTTATGATCTTATAAACCTATTTAATCTTGTAACATACAAAGGAATTAAGAATTCTGATTGGTGACTTGCAAGATACTGACCATTTGAACACAGTGGAAGAATCATTTTTGATTTTCCAATACAACATATTGAAAGGGCAAAAGGAATGGCTTGGTATATATAGAAAGACTTATTGATAGCTGTCCCTCCACATTAGTGATAGCTGTCCCTCCACACTGCTCCAAGGACATCCCTTGTATAAATTTTAAACATCACAGAGTTCTAAAATACTGGACTGATTTTCCTGTTACAACCCCCCTCTCTTCACAACTTCTCTCCATAAAATTCCTCCAGGGAAATAACTTTCAATTTATCTGGCTTTGTATCCCCAGTGCCCAGCACGGAGCATGGCACATAGAAGACATTCATTAAATGACTGTTGAATGAGTGAAAGAAACAAATTTGATATGACAACAAAGACAGGTTAACATATGGGGGACAAACATTATTTCACAATGACAGAAGAAGTGAGAGACAGCCTAACGTTTTTCACTCAGAGAACTTTTCCTGATTTAAATAGTGTCCACCCACACTTTTATATTGCAAATAAAATGTCTTTAGTTTTAAATTTGGTCATTACGCTCTTCAAGACTGGAAGATGTGAAGACATCACTGTCACTTTTTGAAAGGAGAAGGTCCTCATGGAAATACCTATCATATATCTTTGGGGGTGGGGAGTGGGGGAATTGGGAGTCTCTGGAAACTGATGTAACTGAAATTAAACTTCAATTTCTCGTATCCGTTTCAAAACTATTTGAAAACGGGTAATGTAGGTTTCTTCATAAACCAGTTAAGCAATTTCTGATTTGTAGCAATACAGTATAAAATATAGGACTTATTTTCAAAGGCAGAATACAAAAAAGTTCAAAATGCAGCTGACCTTGATGAGTTAGGATTATGCTGGAAATCAGTTGCTAAAATTTAATTACATCTATTACTTCCTGCTCTTTACCCCAAGTTAAAGCATATTGAATAAGGGCGTTTTAGAGAAAAATCCAATTACCACAGAATTATTTATCTTTAAACTATCCAGTTTGCACCTAATTAATTTTTCCTCAGCAGTGCAGTAGAGTAAAATTCACGCTCTACTGCTAATACAAAAACTTCCTTCCAAAAAAAGAGTAAATGCTACTAATTTTAAATATTTCTACATTTAAATTAAAAGAATGAAATATATGCTAACAAAGGCAAAGACAAATTACTCTTCCCAGAACTTACTTCTGAAACCTAGCTGTTTTTACACAGTTTTAATTAACATTAACATTTTTCAAAATTGTAGAATAAGTACATATTTTCAAAAACAAAACTACAGAATTACTACCCCATACACACACACAAAGTTTCAAGAACGAGAGCAAAACATGCATATATTCTCACTGCAAAAAAAAAAAAAAAAAAAAAAAAATTAACACTGGAGCATTTTGCTGTGTCTCCTTACCTCGAGTGCAGTAGATTGCAGTAAGGCCAGCCGATTTATTTCCTTGCAGCTTGGTTATCACAAAACGGAAGGGGCGTATCGTTCGCTCATTTTTTTTTTCCCCCTAAACCAAGCAGCGTGCATCTATCCTTCCCCATTCGCTGGATTAACAACCTGGAAAAAGCGCCGCCCGCAAAGTGAGCGCCTGGAGCAGGGGACAGTCCCCGAGTGGCCGCCCCTCCCTTTCGGTGACGCTCCACTTCCTGTTAGCCTAAAAGGCATTCCCAAGAAGCTCGGTTTTGTAGTTTCCAGCCCACCTCCGAAAGCCAATCCTTTCCCCCATTTCTTCTCCAAGGTAACAACTTTTAATCATTCACGTGACGGACCACCTGCCCTCAGCCAAACAACTTCCCGGAAAGGCGCCCGAAGGAGCGTTCCCATCCACCGCGGGTGCCCTGGAAAGGCCAGTGGGGCTCTCCTTCCTGCACTCCGCACGCCCTCGCATCCCACCGAGGCGCCAGCTTCTGCCTGCACGTTGCTGAAACTGGGCCTGGAAGTTCTGACAAGATAGAGCGGCGGCCGTTGCCCCGAGGATGACCTGGAAGCGAAAGGGACCTGCACGAATTCTAGAGTTTCGGGTTTCCGTGGGTTGCGATTTTACGGGAAACAATGCATTAACCAAATCTAAAAATAAAACAAACACGTCTGGTAGGACCTACCATTAAACAGCTTCTTTTCTATAACACGTTTAACAGCCTTTGTTTTGAAAGACATTGATTGATGCCAGGCGTGGTGGCGCGCGCCTGGGGTCTCAGCTACTCCCGAGGCTGAGGAGGATTACCTGCGCCCGGGAGTTCCAGGCTGTAGTGAGCCTTGATCCTGCCATTGTGCTCCAGCCTGGGTAACAGGGCGAGACCCTGTCTCTTAAAAAACTAAGCAAAGAAAGAAAAACATTGATTGCCTCCTGCGTGGCAGTCCCGAAGGGTCAAGCGCTGTCTTCGGGGTGGCGTGGAATGGATTCCTAAGATTTGGGCGCCCATAGAGTTAACGCAGCAAAACGATCACTTGCGTGTCCTGCGGACTGGCGGCAATAGAACACGTGGCTGCTTAGACTCTTAATCACTGATAACTACTACACCGGGATTTAATGCCAGCTGGGAGGAAATGGCGAAAGGGCAGGCGCTGGAGCCCATGCATCCGGGAACACTGGTAGTAGGCGGTCGGGTGGGCGTGAGCGGGCTCTCCATCTCCTGACAGCCCAGTCTGCAGGTCGCCACCTCAGGATTTTCTTCCTGAGTCCGGGTGGCAGGACTCTACCCCAGGTCAGCCCCTCACACCCCCTCGTAGTTGCCACCTCCTGGCGTTCCTCCAACAGCTCCAGCACCGTTCCCACCCTGCCCCCGCAGCAAGCCCCGCCCTCCGTCGCGCAGGCCCCGCCCGCGACTGGCCTCCCTCCTTTCCCGTCCCAGGACGCGTTGCGCGGCCCGGGCCGGAAGTAAGCGAATTCCCGGGTGTGTGTCTGTGTCTGTCTGTGTCTCGCAGCGGCGCGCGGCCCCGGACAAGCGCTGGGGATTCCCGTTTGAGGCGTCACTACTATCACTGCCATCACCCCACGGAGCCACTTCTAGAGGGGAGTAGACCCGGCTCTTCGCCGGGCAGAGAAGATGTTGCCCCTGTCCATCAAGGACGATGAATACAAACCACCCAAGTTCAATCTGTTCGGCAAGATCTCGGGCTGGTTTAGGTGCGGGGTGCTGTGTTTGCGGGGAGGGGGTGTCCGGCAGAAAGGGAGAAGGCCCAGACCTCAGGATGGCCCGAGGTCCAGGGAGGGAGCGTCGGAAACTCCCCGTCAACCCCCAGCTGTGAGGAAAGGAGCATGTGAACTGGGAGGAACTTGAAAGGGGTACCCGGCCTCGGGGTACGGGCACCTCCTTAACTCTCCCGGCTCTTTTCCACGTGTATCATTCCCAGGTCTATCCTGTCCGACAAGACGTCCCGGAACCTGTTTTTCTTCCTGTGCCTGAACCTCTCTTTCGCTTTTGTGGAACTACTCTACGGCATCTGGAGCAACTGGTAACCAAAGGGGAAAATGGTTTGGGCGGAAACAGGGTGTGAGGGAGACGAAACACTGTTTGCTTAATGCCACGTAGCTCCTCACCAGGAGGTTCAGGTCCTACCGTCATTATCTACCTCTGCTGCTGAGTTGTTTTCCCATGCCCGCACCAATCTGGTAGGGCTACAGTTCTTGAGTAAGATCTGAGGCCTATCCTGTGCAACCTCTGTTGTCACCCTCCCCTCCGGTTCCATCAGGCAAGACTGACAAGCCCCCTCCTTATTTTAGCAGACGGACAGAATCCTTCATTTCTAATTGCAGGCCTTAGCTTTACCCACTTTGTTGGAATTGGGAGAAACTTGTCTGCTGCCTCTCTCAGAGGGGAGTGGCATTTGGATTTCACCCTTAAGATTCCGAGAGTATATTTGAGATGTTCTACTTAGTTTGTTATTGGGGCTGGGAATGGGAGGTTTTATAAAGGGATATCCGGAGAAATATGTGTCATTCTCTTCTCTCTTTAATGCCGAAACTGTCTCATGATTTTCCTCTAGTATTAACTGCGATGTAAAAATCTCATATAGTTTTCTAGAAACAACATTTCTTGGGTTTTGGTGGCACCTTTGAGGGTTTTTCCTTTTTGTTTTTGAAACATCCTTAGGAGGAGGAAAATCTAGTGTGTAAGTCTATGGCAGTGAAGTTACTATTATTCAGGTATTTGCTGTTGAGTAACTTAAGGTCTTATGAAGTTGTTCTGCTGACAATGAGACTGTCACATTCCTAGGTGTACTAATTCTGTCTTTAGATCCCATACTCGTTCAAAACTCTGAAGAAAGCCAGTACTCAGAATTGTACATAAAGCTTCAGGATGTTGTTGAGTTCCCTGTACTAAATCTTGGACTCTAGAAAGAACCTGTTTTCTATTTGTTAAGTAGACTTAGTCTCTGTTCTTTAAGACCCATTTTCAGAGAAAATTGCTGTCCTTGATCTTCTGTTGAGATCAAATATTGACAGGTAATATCACCAGGTTTTGTGACATGTATACTTTTATGTAATGCGTGGGCTTCTTTCAATTCAACCATCAATTCAGCTCTACAAAAAATACTCAATAACCAGCAGATTATGAAGGTTATTGGTTTAGTCAACAGTTGTGTATAAAGGCATATTGGCACAATGATATCTTAATATATGTAATAACCATTTTGAATCCTTTGGGAATCAGATGTATTTATTTCAAGGATATCCCATCATAGATTAATTCTTTAATCCCATAATATTAACACACTTTAATATACTGTAGAAGTTGAAAGCACTTGTACTTGAATAATCACACTTTATCATAAATATGTATTACAGTATATTTTACATTTTTCTCTTCCTAAATTATGCCATAATTTTGGCATAGGTGCTGATTGTATCAAGAGTGTATCATAACTTATATATGCATATTTTGCTACAGGTAGTTTCTATTGAAATGTTTCACTATGGCTTTCCATTGCATAAGTCACTCTGTGAAATATCTGATTCAAGAGATTCATACTTGAAGTTCCTAAACCACCTTTCATGGAAAGTTAAGTATATAGTAACTCTTCTGATCTGTAGAGATCTATTGGGGAGATTACTAAAACCGTTATTTTTTAAGTCACTATGCATCAGTGCATAGCAAAAACATCGGTTGTAGGTGACTTGTTCTTTTACCCTTAGGTGACTTGCTCTTCTTTACTGGTACAGCTTATACTGCTTTTCATTGTATTATGTCTTCTAGCTAGATTTGAAATCTAGCTCCAGCGTGTGCTGTACTTAGATCATTTAGCACGTATCCGTCATCTCATGCCCATTTATGTTAATCTCCATATCTACAACCAAATATTCTTAAATATTAATTTTTAATACAGATCTCTTCTTATTGACATTTGGGCAGATTTAGACATTTCTCTGGCCTTTTAATAATCTGGCTTTCTGTGTTTTTTATTTAGACACCAAAATTTTTAGTTCCGTTTGTTGACTGATCAATAATTTCTTTACATGACCAGAAGATTATCTATGTTCCCGTAGGTTCAATTAGCTTTTCAGTTCCTTGATTAAATTTCTTCCAAAACTCATTTTTCCCATAGAGGACTAAAACATGAATAAAACACTCACTTCACAAATAAAGGTTCATAGAAACAGTTGATCTAAATTTAACAAATGTTAAATTGTTCTGGTTCTTTTTCAGAGCCTTCATTTTAAAGGAAGAACTTATAGTTGATTTATATTTTTGATGATGAGTAGGTATGTTCAGTGGAAGAATAGGTAATTGTTGTATGTTTTTCCCCCTCAATAAATATCTGCTACTTTTCACCTTCCCACTAGAATGTAAACTGTATCAACGTACGGATCTTTTCTATCTTATGCAGGCACTTCAGTACATAGAGCATAGTGGATGCTTAATACGTATTTGCTAAATGAAAGAATGAGGGAATGATTAATGTATGGAATTACATTACCTATACTAAAAATGGTAACTACCCCTGTTAAGGAAAAACAGCAATGACAAAGCATTACATTACATTCTGTCACTCTTAGAAATTGGGAGGAATATGGTAGAAATTCTGTATGTGATTTTTCGCTTCCTTCTAGTATTTTATTTTTCATTTACTAATTTATTGTTGAGTAACTGACTAATCTCAAGGTAACATAGTGTAAGAATGTGGTTTTGTATCATCTAGGGTTAAGTTTGTTTTCAAGTTACAGAAAAACTCTGCACATCTGTAATCCCAGATACATGGGAGGCTGAGACACCAACATCGCCTGAACCTGGGAGGCAGAGGTTGCAGTGAGCCGAGATTGTGCCACTGCCCCGCAGCCTGGGTAACAGAGTAATACTCTGTCTCAAAACAAAACAAAAACCTAAATTAATGGTTGCTTCAGCAAGATAAAACTTCATTTCCAAGATAGGTAGTGTTTGAGCCATCCCTGGCAGCATAATGTCTGGAATGCAGAGAAGAAGAGGTAAAAGGTGTGCACATTGTTTTTTTTTTTTTTTTTTTTTTTTTAAAGATTTATCTGGATGCTAACACACGACGCTTTCACTAAAACTTTATCACATGGTCATGCCTAGTTGCAAATGTATTCTGTATTCTACTCAACCATGTATTCTGTGGAAAGTCAGGGATTTTTTACTAAGGAAGAAAGAGAATATGTAGATAGTGTAGGTTCTGGAAGTGGGACTTGAGAGAGAGAGAGACAAACTAACGTATCATCTTCTGGAGGTGGAAAATTGAGGCCTAGAGTTTTTTACTTTGCAAGTGAGCAGCAGAGCCTACAGCACCTATTATCTAAGTTTGATGTCCAAAAAAACACACTTTTTTTTTCTAGTATCTCAATATGGTTTCTGTGTTTTTATGTTCTTACATTTTTACTTCATTATTAACAGATTTAATTTCAGTAGTGTTTCTTACCAAAGCTGTTGCAACCATTTTTCCCTTAGACATAGAAGACACTCAGGTAACTCTGAAGGTTAATGTCTTTGTGTTAACAAAGTAAATATTTGTTGAAAAAATGTTTAAGACAATACCAGACATTTTTTTGGTTCTACTTCAATATAATATTTCACAGCAGATGTTTGTAAAGTAATTCCTTACTGAAGAAAAATAGTTCTATCAATCACATGTTTTTCTGTTAAAATTTTCATATATCTTAGTCTTTTAAAATCAACTTTTTCCTTCTCAAAAGGCAGCATTACTTACCAGCTTATGGTGATGCCTTTTGCTTTCCTATAATTTTATTTTCTACCTTAAAAATATAGATAAGTATTCCATTTTGCTTAGACTTTTTTTTTTAAAGTAAGGGACTATATAATGGAATGTGGTGGAGTTGTGGGTTATTTCACTGTAACTCATTTAGTTTACTGACTTTGCTAATGTCAAGATTCTAAGAATTTTCTAATTTCCTGATAATAAATTGATAGTTAATGTTTTTCCATGACTTTGACTTTCCACATCATGGAAACTACCTGATAAGGGATTTCTGAATTAGGATCATTCCTTATTTTCAATTTTGAACACATGTTTAACAAACAGTAGAAATATACTGTTAGCTTAGTTACCAATAGACCTTTTAAACTATTTTTTATCATTGGCTATTTTAAACATATATAAAAGTGGAGAGTTTAATGGACCCCATGTACCCATCACCCAGCCTTAACATTTATCAATACATGGTCTATCTTATTTCATCTGTTGTCCCTGTCCCACTATTGGAGTGTTTTAAAGCAGACACAAGATGTAATTTCTCCTATAACTATTTCATTATGCTTCTCTAAAAGATAAAATCAACCCGCTCTTTAACATAACAGAAAACCATTATC